CTGGAAGTTTCAAAGGTTCCTGAGGTGTGAACTCATGCAGATGTTACCAAAGATTGAGTTACCTTTTCATCTATCTCATTTTCTAGCTGCTAAAATATAGATCTTCTGTTGAATAGAGTAGATGATGAAAAATACTTGCAGTTTTATTTATAGCTCCTGTAAAATTAAGGTCAAGCTAAGACTCTTTCAAATTTTACTGTTTATTTCTATCTTCAACTTTTCTCCTGATAAGAAAAAAATGTTGTATTTGGAGATAATTGCATTTTTCGTCTTGAATATTGCTAAAGCCATGGGTAAATCCATATATTTGAAAGTAAATTTTATATCTGCTTTATTCTGTTCTTCTTTATGGAAGAAAATCACTAACAGCCTTTCCCTACTGCAGCTCACTTTAATAGTTTTTCTTTCACCACATGTTTTTATGATACTCAGCTCTAGGAAAATGAATTCACCAGTGGCTCACTGCATTGCTGATGCATAAGCATAAAAATAAGAAGGAGAAAGAGCAGCACACCATTCCTTAGGGATGCTCTGTGAGCTGGCAGGGCAGAACTGAGCATGGATGGAAAGCAAGAGTGGCAGTTGGTTATCCAACTCCTTTCTTTGTACTTAAAAATCTGTGCTTTAGCAGGGCATTGGTGGTGGACACCTTTAATCCCAGCACTCGGAGGCAGAGGCAGGCAGATTTCTGTGAGTTCGAGGCCAGCCCGGTCTACAGAGGTAGTTCCAGGACAGCCTCCAAAACAATACAGAGAAACCCTGTCTCGAAAAACAAACAAAAAATCTGTGCTTTTTGTATCAGAGAGGAGAGATGATGAGATGAGAGAGTGGGACAGTGAGGGGGATGGGAGAGAGGGAAAAAGGGAAGAAATAGAGAAAGATGGAGAGAGTACAGTGAGAGAAGAGGGGATGGACCAGAGGACAGAGGGGCGAGAGGGGGAAAAAAGAAAGAGGGAAGATGAGAGAAAGAAGGGAAAGAAGGAGGAGCATGGAGGAGAGGAGAATAGTTTCATTTCCCACAGCAGCAAGTTTCATGCTATTTGATTCATAACTACTTAATTCCCTATTTCCTCCTCAAGGTAATTTTTATGCAGCTTGCCATTTTAAACATTATTTGTTTGAAGAATGACTCCAAGTACTTACTGGGTTGAGAACCACAGTGAAAAAGAGCTCCCCTCCATGAATACTCTTGTCCAGTTCCTTGGGGCCACCTGGATATTCCTTGTAGAAAATTGTGTGAGTGAAGAGTCCACAGGTTTGTCTTGGAAGAACCTGAAGGAAAGATGGCCATGTAAGGAGAAAACTCTAGTTACCTCCACCGAACCTTAACTTGTCTTTCTTCATGGAAGGAGATATAAACAAAGGTGTTTTGTATCGAACTCTAACTAGGCCCTGGAAGAACCCTCCACTGTTGGGAATGAAAAGATCATATAAAGAAGAAGGGACAGGAGGGGAAGTTAAAGAAATAATTAAAACTGAAATAGATTTCAAAGCATTCAAAGTCAGTGCTTTTATTATGGAGTCTAGTATGTTTTAGCATCTTAAAAAATAAAATTTTAAGCTGGGCGATGGTGGCACACACCTTTAATCCCAGCACTCGGGAGGCAGAGGCAGGCAGGTCTCTGTGAGTTCGAGGCTGTGCTGGACCGATAGCCTCCGAAACAATACAGAGAAACCCTGTCTCGTAAAAACCAAAAAAAAATTTTAAAGTCAGACTTTAAAATACTTCAACTGTATATAATCCTCATTGGTAAAGTGTGAATTAGTACTTTTACTAAATGTTTGGAAATGAAGTTGGTTATTTGCATGGTTCTTCCTAGTAAGTGGCATTTTACATAGAATACACAATTGAAAAAAAACAAATCAGTTTCTGCTCTAGTGTGAAAATACTGCAGCAAGGGGCCCCAAAGTCCAAGGGTGAAGACTGCCAGATCCAAAAGTAAGAGTATATCTGTTCAGTTATTTGCTTTAGAAAGTGCCGCAAACAAGATGACAAACTGTCACTTAGCAAAAGATGTTTTCATCCTTTGCTTCTAATTATGGGGTCTTTTCCCCACCTAGGTCCAGATTTCCTGGTTACATGAAAGTGCAATTATAAAAGAAGTTGTGCAAGATTTGCTATTTGTCTGAACAGCACTGTGTGATAATTTACTTTAGTACTTGAAGTATTCACAGGGAATACAACCCTAAGCTCAATTAATGCTCTGGGCATTTCTGAGTCAATCAAGCCTCTATACATCTCACTTATTTTGCTAAAACACATACAGTGAGAAGATACTTTGCCTTACACTTGTTAAACTATTTCAGTTTAAACAGCTCGTATGCTACAGAAGGGATGGGAAAATTTCTCTCAGAGAAGGGTGGCAGTGTACCACTGTGAAACTCAAACTTGGAAACTGTAATCGTTGTAGTTGCTGATGGTTCTTGGGAAATGGTGAAACCTCAGTCAACACATATCAAGGCACACCAATATAATGCCTAGACAGACTTCATACAGGCAGCATTGCTAATAGCGAAGTGACCAGTAAGAAGACTGCTGGCCGCTGTGTGTGTGTGTGTGTGTGTGTGTGTGTGTGTGTGACAGTTAGACTGGTGAGAGGCCCTACCCCTGGGCATCCCTTTACACACATATGTAGATGTGAGTCTTGTTGTTCAGAGGCCTCTGTGTCCAGACAGTCTCATTTAACAACTGGACTCAGAGTTCAGAACGTAGTTTTCTATTCATTCCTTACGTGTGAGGATAAAAAGTTCCCAATAAATAGACTTTGTGTTCCCAGGGAACACATGAATTCAGAGGAGAGTAAGAAAGCTGCAGGTCTATTTGAGAACCACAGTACTTCAGAGTTATGTAACTAGGTTAAAATGAAAGTTAGATGGGGTAGGAATAGGTAGAGTGTGGCAGGGAAGTCATTCACAGTGAACAGAGTGTTCCCTGCTGGGCAGTGGAAGACAGAAATGCAGGTGGGGAGCTGAGCATCTCCTGTCTGTAAAGGATGCATTAAAGAGTGTGGTAACAGCGGAGACTCCCAAGATTAGAGAGGTCAGGAGGAGTCAAGGGCTGGCACTGCCTACTGGATAGCTCTCATTGAAGATGGGCAGAAGGTGAAAACTGACCAAGTGGGAGCTCGTACCACTGTCAACATGAAAACCAAGCAGTGAGTTAAAGAGAGTGGCAAACGAAAAGATACTCTAAAGGGATTATTGTGGGAACTCAGAGAAGGCTTGGAAATCCTAGTAGGAAGTTTGAATTATATAACTGAACTAGTGATAGCAGGATCAACAATGGCTTATAAGGAAAAATGCCTTTAAGTCTTCTGATTTCACTTCAGTTAGAAAATATGGGTCTGGTACATGATTTCGGGTTCATGCCTCAGTCCCTAGCCTTTCCTTCCCATCTCTATTAGGAGGACATCCTGCTCTTCAGCTCATATTGTGTGTCTGTTTTGGTGACTTCTGGTGATATCCTGTCTCTCTTCCTGCATAACCTATAGCCTGCTGAACACTTTTCATCTGGAAACTCTCATGCAGGAGCCCACGGATTTAATCCCCACAAAAACAGAATGACAGGGACAATTGTGTCAAAGCAGGAAATCCGCCTGAGCTTTGGTTACCTGCAATAGTCATGCATTTGCAACACAGGCAAAAGACAATTTAGGAGGTGTGGGAAATGAAGTCCTTTGGGCAGAAGCAGAAACAGAACAGAACCATGCTGAATATCGTCTCCAGAGACCGAAATTCACCCCTGTAGGGCTGCCTATGACATCACAACAGCAAAAGACAACCAAATGCTTTTGAAATTATGACCATGGACAGGCTTTTAAAACTCTCCCATCAGAAGACTGCCTGAAGGAGACATGATACATTCATTTTGAGCACCAGGGAATGGAAAGTTGGGAGAAGAATGTGGCCATTATACCCTCATCTAGCATTTACAGCAGTTTTCTTTTTGAGGGACACATTGAGATGGGGGTTGACCCAAGTTAAACACCATCCTCCACTTGACTTTTTTTAAACATTAGAAAGCTGTGTGAAAAGAAGTCAGCTGTGCCTGCTCTAGGGAGTAGGTATCTGTTCACACGCATCAGTTTGACCCAATGCTCTGGGGCTCATCAGCTTCCTAATTGTTTCTTCACAGCGTGTGAGTCTCAATCAGAGGTCATTCCTACTTTCACTGATACTTTCCTTAAGTTGTCTGACTTGGGGGAAAATGGGGTTCAGTGACAATGAGAGGGCTCATGCTGTCTTAGGGAGCCACATATTCTGACACCATTGATGGCTTTTTAATAGTGCAGAAAACAAAACAAGATGGAAACACTCTGGAATAGTAACTTAACTCATGTCACCTTCATTTGTTCTCTGGCATCTGGAGACAATTCATGACCTCATGAGTGGCTTCTTGCTGCACTCACTGTAGCGTTTTGGGGGACCTGGCATAGTAAAGAGGTGAAACTTGGCCAACTTATAAAAGGGCAGGATGGTGACTACGGAGAGCTCTCACATGACTTTTGTAAGAAATGGTAGTCTAAAATTATTTCTAACTTCGATGTAATGTTTTCTTAGTATTTTTACACCAGTGATTGCTTGCCAGCAGGAGTGACAGGAAAAGAAGTTTTTATTTTATTTTTTCAGAGTTCTGTTGAACAGGAAGACATGGCTATCATTAGAATGCCTTCCTTAGGTATAACAACACTCTTCACACAGCATGCCCTCTCCTGAGTCACACTCTTAACACTTGGCTCTCCTTTTTCTTTGTCTGTGCATGTGTGCTGTCATCTGGAAGAACCAGCCAAACCCTACTCATGCCAGAAGCTCACCATGATGTTTTTGTGGATGAAGCCTCTCCGATACCTAGCTGGTTTCAGATGAGGATATTCTTCAGTGCTGGTGATTTTAATATTCCAAACCTTCTTCCAAGCCTCATAAAGCTGTACATGTACAGGGTAGACGCCCGAGTGGTGAGGGGACACTGCGTAGCCCATGTCGGTAGGAATGCCGTGCTCCTAAGACCAAGCAAACGCTCATTAGAATATGGGAAGGTTTGTCCTTTGTTTCTCCTACTTTCTTGAGTCTCACTACATAGTCTATGCCTGAACTTACTGTGAATTCAGTGATCCTATTGCCTCAGCCTCTCAAGTGCTAGGGTTACAGGCATGCAATACAATGCCTGGCTTTGAGGATTTGTCTTAATTCTAGTTTTATTTTAGTGTTTTGAAATTTACTATAAATGCATACACTTAGATCCATCATTAGTTATTGCTTGGTGGAATTAAAATGATACCTATTAAACCATTAGAATTCTTGAAGTTGGATAGCCATTGGCCAATCTTTTTATTGTGATGGTAACTGAGAGGTTGTAGGATGGACAAAACATCGTACTCCACTCAACACATTCTTGGCCACATGTTCATTCTACTGACAACAATTTCAAAATATTTAATGACAAACACCTTTTATAAACAATATTCAGCCCATTCCACTGGACACAAAGAGTAACGAATCTTCCAGGTTTAACTGGCTCACTCAAAGGATTTTGTTGTGTATGTTGTGCTGCCTACTAAGGTTGCTACATTTCTACTGGGGCCCCAGAACTGTGTGTCAGTAACACTACTAAGTCTCAGTACATCAACACAGACTTGATTGCAAACTGTAAAAAAGTTTCACAAAGCTTTTTTTTTAAGTAGAAGTCATCATTCAAGCAGAAGGTAACCAAAGAGACAATTTGAGAATTTACATGACTTCTAAATTAAAATTTCATACATAAAATGATACCAGCTAAGCCGGGCATTGGTGGCGCACGCCTTTAATCCCAGCACTTGGGAGGCAGAGGCAGGCAGATCTTTGTGAGTTCGAGACCAGCCTGGTCTATAAGAGCTAGTTCCAGGACAGCCTCCAAAGCCACAGAGAAACCCTGTCTCGAAAAACCAAAAAAAAAAAAAATGATACCAGCTAAAAACAAACACCCTCCAAACTACACATACACAATGTGTACTGAGGATGTGACTACTGACGGGTCAAGGTGTTCCTTATCTTTTGGTCCTGTCCAGATCCTGCCAAATCCCAGTGAACGCTGTCTTATTTTGGAGAAGATCTGGACCAACTCAGAATCACTGTAATTGTTCTCAGTTTCAGGTGGCCCACGAATCCTCATCCATTACTCTTGTCATAGAGATAGTTTCCCAGACACGAGGTGTGAAATCAGTCTTTTAGAAGAGCACTCAAGGTTTTAATATTGACAGATTTTTCCCTCAATTATTTGTTTTGCTTTCCGTTTGTATTTTTCAATTGCTTCACAACTTTTAAAGATTCCACTGAAATAATCTTCCTTCAAATTAGTCATGGTTTTCTTCACACCAAAGAGCAATTTCACACAGAGAATCACAGTATCAGGCTGTCAAACAGACTGCCTTGCAGAAGCGTGCTACAAAATGGACATAGACTGCACAGAGATTCGGTCAGCTTTGCTTCTCGAGCCAGAGAATATAAAAAAAGAGAGAGACGCACATGTAGCATCTACACACAAGAAATCTCTCAGTTAGGCATTGCCATCTCTCAGTTAGGAGCTCATTATGTCCCTTTCAGAACTTTACTCACTCTTCAAAACTCCCATCAGTTCTCTTTAGTAAGGATGCTCGAACTGAGAGCTACCCAGTGCTGCTGAGAGAAACAAGAAGAGGCGAGGAGCACACAAGAGGAAGACCGAAGAATGACTGGGGAGGGTTGGCAATTTTCCCTTAATCTTGAGCCTCTGCAGACATTTCAATACCTGTGCAATCATTATCATATAATTGAGGACTTCACTAACATAGAATAAAATACCTCCTTGCATCCCTCCCTAGTTTTAAATGATTCACATTGAGGCAATTTCTTCCACTAAGAATTGTGTACCAGTATGTAATTTTGTTAGAAAAGGGAGCTAAAGTATCAATCTCAAATGGTTGAAAAACAGGATGCAGCTTAGGTCAGATGAAAGAAGATGGAGTGCTATTAAAAGGAGCAATTGCATTTTAAGAACATCTTGGAGAACTTCGTGAAGAAGCTATCCACAACAGCCAGACTATATTACAATATCCAGAGATTCATTAGCAAAGACGTTGATCAAAAAGTCAAGGCGGTTTTTCAGTGCTTGCTAAGTACACTTATGATTCCAGGAAATTGGATGTATAACGAAAAGATGATTTGACACATAAAGAACATTTCCTTCCTTTGAATTCTTGAAGAATGTTTGACTACTACTATGGTATATTCAGACTTCATTTGTTTATTTGCTAGTTTTAGTTATTAACATTTCACCTTTTCTTTGCAGTCTGGTACAGTGATGGGGGCATTTCACACACATTTACTATCTTATGTTTGGGAGAAAAACTAACCACATCTAGTCTTTAGATCCATTTTATAGCTTTTTGCATAGAAGGCTACACAGCTCCAAGTGTTGAGACATCATTAATTCATATGTGAGACACATTAAAAATGGGAGTGTTGCTGAATGTTACCACCCCATCTCCAATGCTCTTGTGTGCAGTGATCTTAATACAAAACTTTACCTGTAAACTACGATGGTTCTGAACATTCATTTGTCGATTGATTAATTAGTAAAAGATGCAAGCTCCCTTTCTCTACCTCTACTGTGGATTTGGGGATCATATCTCATTTCTTTTTTTGTATGTGTGGGCCAATTCCTTTGAACCTGTCTAAATGCAACCATTTCAGAAAGCTCTCTGGTAGAGTAGGTCCCTTTGAAATTATTTTACATAAAGTCTATATAAAAATTTCCTATTAGTCTGCACCCAGTGCCATTAAATATAGCCCATTATTATATCCTACAAATACTACAACTAGTGCAAATTTTAAATGGGCCCCACTTTTTTCTAAGTTTACCACAGAAGCCCAGTACACTGTCACCTATGGTCATTTGGTATACGTTTCTAATATTCTATCTATTTTTCCTGACTTGCCTTCATCCAAACCATTCCCCATATAGTAGGCCAAAGAAATATTTTACAGACTCAAATATGATTATGTGACTTTCTCTTTAAAAACTTTCAGGCATTCCCCTTGCACTTAAATACAAAATTATAATCTGATCATGATCTCTGCATCATATAGCCCCTGCTTCTTAAATCGAGCCTTCCAATGTTTACTCCTTATGTACTCTTTCATCAAGTTTACCTTTCCTGAAATTCACCAAACACTTTCCTATCCCAGTATCATCCTATTCTGAATCTTTCTCTCTCTTTTTCCTGTTTGAGACAGGGTCCCTCCATATCACCTTGGCTGCCATGAATCTCACTATGTAGATGAGGGTGGCCTCAAACTCACAGATCTGCCTACCTCTGCCTTCTGAGTGCTGGGATTGAAGGCATGCACCTCTATTCCCAGCTTCTCACACTTACTTCTGAGTAAATTTACAGCATAGATTTGTCTACAAGAAATGCTGGTGAAATAGTGGCACACATGTTACGGGATTACTCAACCTCTTTGTGAATGTATTTAAGGTCCATTCCATGAGGCTGAACTCACACATGGTATTCCTAAAATGCCCAAGAATCTTAGACTACATAAGTTCATGGGCTTAGGGGGAAAGCCTACTACTATCATTCTGCTAAAGAAACTTAGCAATGAAATTACTCCTAATGGCTTGCCTTTGTTTCTCAAGGTGATACAGTAATGTTTTGTAAATATTCCTTTCTTTGTGCCTCTTCTACATTAAGCAATGACTCTAAGAAGTCTGGGCTCCATGTTATTCACCATTGTCTTACTAACTGCAAACAAGAACTAACGTCTGTGAACAGATGATAGTACAGTGCTGACACTGACCTTCTTTTCCCTTTTTAATTTTTCACGTTCTCAGTGGTCTCAGCTCAATTGTCAGTCCATCTGAAGTATGGTAACTCATTGAGAAATTTTAATAACTGCATAAATAATACTTGCAAAAGGTTGTAACTATAGTTGACACTATTATTTTAGAGGCAAAATTTAAATACATAATTTCAAAATAGTAAAGTATCATGTTATAAAATGTAACATTATAAGACTTTTCTGATGTTATCATTCAAGATTTTCCAAACAGATAACTTGAAAGGCAAGTAATGCTGTAGTTATTAGGAAAATCCCCTAAGACTAAAGGAAGAAGGAAAAAAATCAGCATTTAAGTGATCAAACAACACAATCACTTCATTACCAAAGCACTAACTCTGACAGTGTTTACTTATTTAAACTCTTGCTGGTAATTAAGAATGGTGTTTTACTTTTAGTGTTTACCTCAATTTCAATCTTTCTGGATAGAAGAAACATTTCCCATCCATGGCTAGACAGCCTACTGCTTTTTCCCAATTTCATAGGTAAGCAAGTCTGTAGACTATTGTAATTTCTAAGCCCGCAGTGGCAGTCTACAATCTGTTAGATACTCTGTCGTCTACAGAGAAAACAGCCAGAAACTGCAACAACGCTCTTTGGAAAACTTCTACATGATTTTCTTCTCTCTGTTTTGGTTGAAATGTCCCATTTTCTCAGAACACAGAAGCTCATGCTCTGTTAACTACCTCACAACACTGAGATTCACATTTGCAATTTGCACAAATTTGAGATAAAGTCTCCTTCTATTTACACTTCATATTATGGTGATGTTTCTAAGAAAAGGCTCCTTTTCTTTCACTTTTTAAATGGCTTCCTTTAGGATTGTGGCTGTTGGATATACTGTTTCACCGAGTACACTTATCTAGAAGATGGGAGCATATTTGGAAAATAAGATTAGAATCCAGGTTGGAGTACATTTACTTCATATAATTCATACACACCCACACACACATATATATGAATTATTCAAGATACTTGTCAAGTACAAGGAGCATTTAAAAGACAGTTTCTTTTCCTAAGGTAAAACTGATATCCCAAATACAGTCTCAGATCTTGAGTGCATACAGGGCCTGTGGTACCTAAGGGAGGAGACCATAATAGCAGGGATGGTTGAGGGTAAGTACAGAATGATAGTGACTGTAGTCAG